GTACATATAGACACAAGCAGTCGACTTCCTGTTGTCTGTATAASACACACTGCACACTTCGTGTACACATATATAAACCACGTTATTTACGAGTCTAAACTCTAAAACGCATTAAAATGACATATTGTCCAAACGAAATGGAATATATTAGTTATTATAATGTATATAGAATTGAAACATACTGTGGACATCGGAAACGTAGTAAACTCGTTGAAAAAAAATAGAAAAATAAGTGATGAATAAATAAAGCACAACACCTATAATACGGCTAAACACAAATATAATAGGTAACCAGATCGTGCCTGTACACTTAGAATACCTATACTGAYCACCTCCCATAGACGTAGAATTGGGAGGGGGCTAAGGGGACTATAGCCCCCCAGAATTCCGTCCATGTATGAGAACTGAACCATTGTTTATTTTTTTTAAAGGCTATAGYCCCCCCGCATATAAATTAATTACGCTACACCTATGCCACCTTCTACAGTAAACGAGGCGTGAGGTATACACTTAAGTGGACAAGTTAATCAAAATAATTAACCCACGTTAAGAGGAGGACACACGATCGTTAAGTTAAAAGTTAACAGTTAACAAATTATAAATTTAACTCGAAAAGTCAAAAGTGAATCAATTTTTTTTTTAATTAGTATGTCAATCACGTAAAGAGTGACTGTGTCTATCTAATCTAATAAAATGAATCAATATTAGAGATGTACCGAGTATCCGACAATTACTCGACGGCTGGGTACTCGATATCATATTTAAGACTCAGCTCTTAGTGGCTCTTACTCGGTAGGTACCCGACACGGCGTAATATTACATTTGTACTCAACTCATATTCGGTAACTGGGAAGCGCTTATAATCTGTACATACAAAATACGTGCATACCTATAAATTATAATTAATTTAACGGGAAAAATCTAAAATTCTAGATAAATTAATGATAATTTATATTTTGGTACATATTAGAATAACAATAGTTAATTTATCGTTAACAAATCATGTTGTTTTTTATACGAATTACTGAAATAAATCTTGTGTTCTAATGTTTTTTTCTTAAATACACATAACGCATGTATTATTTATGAGCGTTTGAAGTCAGAAATATTTCATATAAAACATTTTGGATTTAGGTAGGTACGAGGTACATAGGTTTTAGTATAATATACAAACACGTGTTTCCTATAACGCTAAATAATTTACTGATACTTAAATGGCATGGTAAACAATATCGATGCTAAGTTAAATAAGGGGKTTGGGGGAAATTAAGAGTAAATACTAATATATTATGATGACAACCTATATGTACATAGGTAATTGGCGGAGTCGCAGAAGTACTGCGATAGCATTCCCGCGAGGCCATCTGTTCGAAAACGGAATGGTAAAAAAAAAAAGTACGTGGTTAGATATTTAATAGTTGTACACAAAATTAAATTTTTAKATTGTATTAATATTCTTCAGCCAACCAAAATGTTCGCATTTGTGTGGTAATTGGAAAGTTCAAGACTCAAGTGGTGTTGATAGAGATATATTATCAAGTAGATATTTACTGAATACGTCCAAATATTGACTATATTTAGCTTATGGAAAAATTCCTTACTATGTGCCTGAACGGCTGTGCTTACTATAGTAATAAATATTAATGTGTGTCAATACACTCATACATGATACATGTGTAAATTAGATCACATAAAAACAGTCAATGCCCAATACATTATTATGACAGCTGAAAATAACGATCCCCGTTGGGTAGTTTTTTTGTTCTTTAAAAAAGTTGGCTGTAGGGCAACCGAGTTTAAGTCGATATCAAMTAATTTTAAATTCTGAGAGCGCGGGGTCCCAGTACTTTACCAAAATAACCAGGAAAAACAAAACAAAAATAGATTTAGATTTTTATTTTAATTGGTAACTATAGGCTTGTAACTTTTACTATTTAAATATAATAAACATGATAAAATGTTCAAAATATTTCTCTTTTTGCTATTTATAGATATTTAAAATATTCTGTTTTTTTTTTTTTTTGATTTCTCGATTTCTGTATGATAAAAGTTCTATTTTTCAGTAAAAAAGCTTTAAAGTTAAACAATGTTCCTCAATACCTCGTAAATTGTTCAATTTCCTATTAATAATTATTGAAAACAAAAGGTTACACATCTTTAAGGTGGYTTAGAGTCTTAACATGAACGAATGAATTCTTTTGTGTATGGCTGGACCGGTAGTCTAACGACTCTTACAAACCGCCAGCAAACCTTTTCGATGTCGTCCGCAATAGTTCGAAAATGTTTAATATTCATTATTGTTATTGGACAATAAAAAATGTATTTGACCATAAATTTTACTTTTTATTTGAACATCAWTAATTATTAATTAAATATTATTTTATATTGATAATGTTTTATTTTTATATCTTTCGTTATATCCTGGCTGTCCTGCTGGTTATTAGAGTTAGAGTCACMGGGCTAGACCGTTTACCTACATTGGTTTGCAAATCAATCATTTCCATTGGTAGGGTAGGACTGGTAGGAGACAAYTTCTCAACTAAACGGATTTTTAAAAATATTAATTTCTTCAGATTTTACGTCAAGCCGTCAAGGTCAGAAAAAATTTGTTAAAATTGGATTTAAAGTTGAGAAATTATTTATTAAGCAAAAAGTCGACTAGAAATTGACTTTAAAATTTTTATTATATTTATCATAAGTTAAATAATGAGTGAAACAATTCTTTTAAATTTGTGTTTCAAATAAAATATGGTTTTGCTTAAATGCTTTTACAGTAGTGAAAATATCACGAATGAGAACATCTCTACCTCGTAACATACGAGTCGTAAATTATATGATAGAGCTGATGTAGGTGATCGTGTCAATATTGACATATTGTGTGCACGATAACGACTGGGTATTACGCATATTTTTAGATTATTTACAGTTCGTTTCCCGGCCGGATGCAGGCCGTAGTTTTGAAACCCTGCTCTAACGTATAATTATAATATTATATTATAAGCACTTGAGATTCAAATTTTACGAAATTCTTCAAAAGCATGAAAATTCACAAATTATTTAATGGCCCAACAGATTATACAATTTCTAATTTTAACACCTAATTCACCACCTTCAATACACATCCTTTGACTTATTGTAAGCAATTCAATTAACACTGTGAAATAAATTACATTTAAAATGAATAAAAAAATGTTCATCTCATTAATTATAATATTACTTTTATTGGTATATAAATTTATTGTACTTGTTTAACGTGTACCAAGACGCAAGTTCGTAAATACACATTGGCACACGAAAGCTTCATAAATATAATCAAATGATTAGATATCCCATCATTTAGTTTATRGGTTTAATATTTTTAATAAGGTTTTTAATTATAACATTAAATCAATGATATCTATCATCATTGCAAGACCGACGTGTGTCACTGACCCGTATGATAATAATACGTTCGTCTTTGAAAACAACGCGATAAGTTGGGAATTTATTTTTGAAAAAATAATGACAATATTATTGTTAGCCAGGATTTGAAATAAAATCGTCTCTCGATATTATGATATGGGTAATATCGGCACAATCGCAATAATAACTGACTTGACATTCATGGTACATTGACTTCCTATAATTATCAAACTTCGGGACATTACTATGCCTACAACGTATTATTAAAACATATATCGTCTATACCTTCCACCAATAACATTATTTTATTTTCGCWTTTTTATTTTTCACGGTCGCTCGTCCATGTTCAACTAACCACATTCGATTAGCACATTCAATACAATACCCATCATATATTATTATTACAAGTTATTGTTTAACCCGTATACTTGACACACTAAACTATGATCGTGTTCATGAGTTTATTTATGGTATCATAGTGTTATTATTATATAATTATTATGTTTACGTATTTATTGTCTACACATTAACCGGAATATCGTATTTACCTAGAGACGGTGACACTGATAGATGAACAATATTTCGTCCCAACAGCGCCAAACCGCGTTTAAATTGTTTAAATATTATATTTAAATATTGTATCCTCGAATGCTCTATGAATAAACTTTCTGTCTGTATTTTAATTTAACAATTATTCGCGACTTCTATTAAGTTCTCATTGTTCGACGGTAAAGTCGGTAACGTCATTAAAAGGCGGGAAAAGGGGGGGCGTCGCCATTTATACCGTACAAACATGAAAAATACGTATTGGACAAAATCGCTCACAGATTTTAAAATACTGAATACCTCATCATCGTGCACAAATTTATTCGTTTAATATTTTTAATATTAATAAAAAGGCCTTAGGTACTGCCATATGCTTTTTATTATATTTTGATTCTAAAACGAGTCATTYGCTCTAATTTTAAAACAAGCTAATCGTGATTTCCTGAACGTAAAATGTGCCATGCTACGCACTTACAAGACGGATACAACAAATGTCAGTGTAACGACCTCTTAATATAGCTGTACRTGATAAGGTTTGTGGCTATTACTGATCGATATTTCGTTGGAAATTATTTGTAGATTTATATAAAAAAATTATTATTAACAATGTGTGTCAGTTGTTTATTTGTGTGAAGGAAAGTAGGAAAGTTTGTAAGTCCTCCCTCCAAAAATATACCCCGAGTTTGCTCCTGGATAGMATTCATTCCAAAAGTATTTATTTTTAGTATGCATGATTAATGTATAGTCGTATAAGTACTTACAAATTTACAATATAACCGTTATCCAGTGTTACATATTTAAATATCTGTATGTATTGTTAAAAAACGATTTCGTTTCAGAGGCTCGGATTAACAAAATATTGTAATATTGTGGCCTGTAGTGGGTAACGTATTTTCATTTAAATTTATTATTTTCGTCGTAATATAAATAATTATAAGATATAACACATAATAACATGTGTCCCGAATGTTCCTATATACATAATACATAGGTAAGTATTAAGTATACATAATATAAAATAATATACATAATAAATTATAATCTATACTTACGTCCTCCAATCGACTACGAAATGCCGAGTGTGAATGCATTAAATCGATTATGTATTTTAATTTTTCGTTGGAGTTTGATGGCAACGTCATTTCTATGTATGTCAAGCAATACTGTCCCCGAATGCCCAAGTTTTCATCGTTCGCACTCAGACATTGATCGAAGTCTCCAAACTGATTTATATTTCCGTTCAGAATGCCCGATGGTATTTTTGCTGAAGAATCGTACACTGYAATCGTAAACAAGATATTAACTTACAGTCATATACAGTCCAACGCTCGAGCACGATAAATACAGCAGCGAAATTTTTCTACAAAAATKACTTAGACCTTAGACGAGATTGGACTCTGCGGTACCAAGTGACATGTATAAGAGCATAAATTATATAARTCGTACAAGTTAGATGACGATGTTAAATTCGTAAAAATAATCTACTTCAATAGCTGTAGAATATAATTATAGGTCAGTAAATTTGTGAAAGATCCTATAGATATATAATATATTAGCTTACACAGTCTCGTGGGTGTATAATAAAAAAATAATTCAAATATAGCTGACATTTTAAGTGCACACTAGTGCACACTAAGTGTTCAAATGTTCAGGTGTCAATGACTCATATTATAGACAATATTTTCGACATCAGCTTGACTCTTGACTTGTGGGGGACTYGAGGGGACCAATTGATTTTTTAAAATATTGTATCGTAAGTACATCTGCTACTTTATTTTAAGAGGAACACGAACTAATGAATATTATAGCTATTATTAATTATTATCATCGAATAGTGAATACCTAACAGAGCATGTCAATTTGCCATTCATGATGTTTCATATATTAGGTACTGACTAATATGACTGCTGGATTTTTGATAATATGGCAGGAATAATCGTTAGCCGTCTATTTACATACTCGATAAGACCGGAAACAAGATGGGGTGAGAAGCCAAATTATGTCTAATTAATACACAAAATATTATTGTGGCATGATTGTTGCAATCATTCACGCAACTTGATAGAGTGTACGCATCACCCGCTGCCACTAGTTTCCGGATGGGTGACCACCTGGGTTCTTGGTTCCAAACCAACTGTACCCTCTYTCACAGTTGWAAAACCTACTAAAAATAACTACCCAATGGGCTATATTTCCGCGGGTTAATTAATAAATATATATATCATTATAATTTGAGTTRCTGATCGGATCTATTTTTGTTTTATTTTTATTCACTTCAGTGRAAAAATTGTGCATAAAAGTATTTATATTTTATTATATTAATAATCTATAGTATACGGCACGAATTGAGTTTTAACTTTCAGTGCAAGGGAAAATTAGTATATAATTTCCAATTAATTTGCTTATACCGTGACACGTTAGCAGTATTGATGGATATTATTCATAGATAATTATTTACTATAAAAATTAGCTTTTTTTTTTAATTTTTAATCAAGCGTTTAGATTTAGTCACAGTAAACTATTTGTCCAGGGTCATTCATATTAAGTATAATTTTGTGAATGATTAATGATTTTTAAAATTCGATTAAAATCCTWATTAAATATAATATTAAATTATCAAATTGACGTCACTATGCAATATACATATCATATTATAGGCATAATTTGCAAAACATTCGGAAAAAACGTGAAGGTTTTTTAAAAATTGTATATGCAGTGTRCGTAAACATGGTATACCGCTTGACATATATTGAATATTAATAGTTGCCAGCTAGTCGGGACAGACGGAACTATATAAGTAGACATATGACGTATAGTATAGACACAGGTGTACAGAGTATTGCGTATTATTCTATTTAGTAAAATAAGTACTAGGTCGAACTTGAAAAATAACCTCCAGAATATAAAATGCGCATTGACACTCTTCGATACCAAGTTGTGTTGCAAATTTTGTTCGATATATTATAATAAAAAAGTACTGCAGCTTTTACAAATTTTAATGACATACTTGTATCGTAGTATTTTTACGACAACCTGATGATGTGAGAGTAGGGGGTGTAGTAGAATCGGCATGTTCTCTCACTGAACAGAGTATAAGTGCAATAATTTGTATGACTGCAATACACATTGTAGAGAAGTCTCTATTTTTATTTCTAAATTTCCTATATATGTACACATTATAATATGTAACATATAATAGTTGTATTTATATTTTATATACCTATTTTTAAACACTAAAAAGGGGCTGCTGCTCTGGGTAAATGTCTCAATATTTTTATAAAACTATATTGATTGAGTTATATAAAGCCTATAAGTACCTTCTCACCTACGCTTATAGGCGCTATCAGTAATATAATATCAAATAAATAATAATATCAAATAAACCTAAAATTCGAATTATTTACGTTCATACATAGGTACACGTATAGGCGTTTCAAAAGTATTTTTCCAACACCCGTCACCCAGTATCGAATTCCTATWATATCCTACCCATTTTGATGATTATAGCTAGTACCAGCTACCTAGGTATTATTTATATGATCATATGTATATAGCAGTATAGTAGGTACAAAAATAATAAATTATTCAACCAACATTTAAATTTTAAATTTTTTATTTATCAAACCATTTTATACTAATAATACCACTTACTTCTTAATGCCCATATTGTTAATTTTTCTAATTCTCTTAAATAAATCTGACTATGGTTCTTGCATAATTCGTTTGAACTGCTTAACACAGCCATCGGAGGACTTGCGGAAAACAATCCTTGAATGGTGTTTGACAACATTATGTCCTTTTGTTTATTACCTTAAACACACAAGAAAAGAATAGTTAAAATTTATTTATATATACATTAAATATACATTAAACACACATTTAGAATTTCCAGTTTTTTTTTATCAAACTTTTTGTCATAATTTCTCATTCGTATAAAATGTATATTATGTTGAAACGAAAACGAACCTACAAGTCTATAAGCTATAACAATTACTATTATTATTTGTATTGTTAACATTGTTTAATTGTACCTATGCAGCATGCACTTATGTAATGAACAAAGAATATTTTATAAATGGGRCGCAAGTTGGCTATATAATTATTAATTATTACCTATATATTATTATTTATTTCCTATCACTAAAATCGATACTCAATGTAATTCGATGGGCAGATATTTTTGATTTATTATGTTTAGATGTATTGTATTTATTTTTTTGTCTGTGTACATAAAAATAACATTAAAAAAAACCTTCGAGGGAGGTTAGACAATAGTCAAACCTTTAAATTGTATTATTATATAATTGTTAAAGTATTTAAGAACCCAAATAATAATATAATTTGAAACAATTTATAAAATTAAGGTAAAAACAAATTTTGGTAAGTACTGTGACGTAACACTGACATATTTTGTTGTCTCAGTCTTACAAGTGCGTAACATAGTGAATTTACGCTAAGCACTTCAAGTGTATACCTTCGTTAGTTTAAAAATTAGAGTGAATCAAAACCTCTTATATGTATAACCTAATGGTAATAACATTATCTGTTTTTGTAAGTGGAATTTTTACGAAAAATTCAGTTTCTAAGTGAGTTATGAGAATTTGTAATTTATATTTATTTACATTCTATAATATATACATAAAACTTGCTAAAAAAATTAACCATTGTAAAAACCCATTAAAAACACAGATAATGTACTTACCATCATGTTTCATAATAGGTCAATTTACTAAAACTTTTTAAATTTCAACTAACTGAACTAACGAAGGTACACGTGAACTGTTGAGTGTAAATTTTTTGTGTTACACACTTTGTAAGACAAAGACATCAAATGCCAGTTTTAAGTCCTCTTATACACATATTAAGTATGTAATAAAACACTTTMATCTGTTGCCTAGGTAATACTCMTAAATTTTTTTTCCGATTATTTACAATGATATTCTGACAATAATTGACTGAATAAATCATTCAAAATTATAAATATAAAATTCAAATTTGTTTTTTTATCATTTTTATTGTRTTTAAAATCAACTTTACTCATGGAAATTGTTATGATCGTTTATTTAAAACAATAAAAAAATAGTTATATTTGTTCCCTTTAATAAATTTACCATACGGGATGAATGCAAGTTTAAAGTTGGAGCAAATGTATGAATATTTTTCTATAATCTTTATTCTTCAAACATTATTTAATTAGATGTTTTGTTCTATATTTATGGTTCAYAATGGTTTTAATATATAAAGCCAAGTAAGCAAATGAGCCAAAGCTCATTAAAAATAATTGGAAATATTTATTATTTACTATTCCCGTATAGTGGCCAAGTTAAATGAGGCAATCATAAAGTTGTAAATAATTCATACTTAAAACAGTTGAAACTATTATAATATTAATATGATTAGGAATTGATTATATTTTATAGAATATTGCTCCAGATATAATTATTGCATGCTGTTCATAAGGACATAAGTAATATGACTCGTATAAAATTACCACACCAAAATAATTTTCCATWGGTAAATTTGATTGTAAATCTTGATTTATTATTTTACTAGTGAATTATTTTTTTTTAAAGAACTATATTAATTATTTAATTCTGATATAATCTATACATAATAATACATAATATTTTTCATTTAAATAAATATTATAATTTATAATATAGCTATACAAGTAGGTAGATTAGGTTGTGTTTGCACTGCAGTGCTTGTATTTCAATTTCAATTAGGTATCTGATATTTTATAAAAGGCCCTTGGTGGGTAAAGAGACTCAGTAGTGCAACCAGGGAAGGGTTTGTGGGTTGTAACACCCCCTGAAATGTTTTTAAAAGTCAAATATTTCAAAGTGAAGACCTTTTTTTTTGGTTAATTTTTTTTATATGAATAACCTCTCCCGAAAATAGATCATAGTTGCGCCACTGAGAAGACTTGGATTAATCTTTACCGAAAAGATTAAAAACTAAAGATATTGGTGCTCCCTACCAAAAATATATATGAAAACAAAATAATGTTTTATTAGGTGAAGATATAACATGTTCCGGGTCAGTTAAAAATCTCCAATATTTAAAATATCTATTCGAGACAACAGTCAACAAGTAAATGTGGCCCTGATAATGGCCAAATATTCATGTCGTATATTATACAATTCAAGGAAAATTGTCTATCAAGCAACTTTTCAATATTTGCATTAATTCAAGTGTTTACTTATAAAGGCAATTATGTTTTAATGTGCATGYATGAATCAAATGATAGTTTACGGACAAATAGGCGAGCAAAAATTTCTTAAATAGACATAATATATGGAAATAAAATATTGTTCAGTAATCTGTTATGGTCTTAAGGCTATGACATGRAAAACACGACATGAGAAGCGGTGCTACAAGTGTAACTGTTGTACCGATAGATTTGATAAAAATTTACCACTGTGAACATATCGTTTTCTCCGCGTAATTTCATTATACAGAATGAATCACTGAACATGCTCTGCTTACTTTTCCTTTGATAATCAATTCATTAAAATTCTGATTTTAAAGTTTTTAATTAATTTATGGACCTTATACTGAAATATACGTAGGTATTTATATTACTTAATAGGTCTACAAGTTCGTTATGAACTTATGACGTATCACGCATGTATAAAATAAATTAATAAGAGTAGCATAAAAACTGTGGAAGTTTCCAAGAATTTTTTGAAAAAGTATTAGTTAATTTTCATTGAAAACGAGTAAATGAGTATATTATATCAAATAGAGAAGTATAAAGTGTAGAGAACGTTTCATCTGTGGAGATATTATAGATACGTCATACATTTATTATACCATTTGTTCTATTTTTATGTACCTAATTGTGTGGTCTGTCTAAGCTAAGGCCAAGGCTCGGGTTACGTGCGCACAATGTAATACGTTCAACATATTATTTTGATTTAGTTTTTAGCTAGAAATAGAAAATACAAGTCTTACATGATGGAGTTAAGTGACATATTATTTAGCCACGACGTTAATATTATACAATTTACAGTTTTTTTTTTATTATTATTATTATTAGTTGTATAATACAGAAATCTCGTAACATATATTTTTTAATTGGATTGAAATTTAATAATATAATATGTAATCTGTATAAAGCAAGCAACAAGTACTTGTCAAAACACAGTGACGCGCTATACTCTGTAAAACACTAAAACTTAAATATATTTTTAGACTCGTTTGGCCGTTTTCGAAGCGGTGGCCCCCTGCTAGCTGTAAATATTATTTCTGTACACTGTTATTCCAAAATATTTTTTTTTTTTCCATTGCATGAATCGAAAACTTAGTTCTTCGCTGTGTCTCAAATGTGATAATTTTAATGTTTGTACATCGACCCTAGTGTGTGCCGTGTGTGGTATACAATTAATATTATAAAMTATATTTGTGTTGTTCCCATTGATCACAGCTCGGTCATGTTTATGCGTGAATAATTTATAATAACTGTACGCTGTACGCGACTAGAGTAGTGGAGTAAGGACGTACAAGTTGAACTTGAAATTCGTTATGAAATCTGTTACATCACAGCCAAGATGAACTCAAACAATGAATAATATACTTACAGCGTTAAAAGTCCATTAATCTGTTATTAAAATTTACTACTTCTGAGTTCTGATGGTTATGGTTATTACTAATTAATTATTACTGTTACATAGTTTGGCATAAACATAATACATAAATAAAATAATGATAGTCGATAGACAGTAAATAAAAAAAATATTTATATAGCTATCAGCCACGCGGAGCACATTTAATAAACACGTATTAGATGTATTACCTATAGTTGCAATGCTATTAGTCATAGGCTAAGTTCCTATAACACTCATAAGTCATAAGACATAAATAATAATTGTTCCTATTTKCCTAACAATATTATTTTAAGCTAGCCAATAGTCATATCTGGCTATCATTACAATTAAGTCTATTTTGTAAAGCAATACTTGTTTCCCAGTGGCCCATGTCACCAAGGGTATTTTTATTAATACAACTAATTAGTTAATTTTCTGAAAAYAAATTTTTATAATAGCATAAGTTATTCATATTTTATAAGAATTAATAGAGCCAAGGCCTATAAGACTATAATTATAATTTTATTAAAATAAAATAATTTATGATTGGTTTGGTTATTGCTGATATTTGTTTTCTTATTGACGCTAAAATATTATATATTTTCAAACAAAAGTATAAAAATAAGCTTTGTGAAATATTTTTGCAGGTACATAATTAGATTAATTCGCTTGCCTGTGTCCTAAATGTCTGTATCTACCGATACAAGTTCTGATAGTAATTACACAAAAAATATATTGTATATGACACATTAACACGTTTATWTATTTTAAAGCTAAAAAATATGTTATTACTGAAAATTATTTCATTTTTGAGTGGTGTCAACCACTATACTCCCATATAATTTCTCAATAATACATCTGTACATGTAAGTATTGCATTATAATAGTCCTTGAAGTTGTCGAGTTGTAGAACGGATGAAAATGTATCAAGTTTCAATAGTTTGTACTATTATATCCATATTCCATATTTAAGCAAAACTTTAAGTGTTCTACATATTATTACGAGTTGAGTTAGTAATATGCACACAAAAAAAATTATATTCAAGCTCAAGCAAAACGATTTAAAAAAAAATATGTCACAGTATTCAATGAATAAGAGCTTACAACAGTGCAAAACCATATATTTTTCTAAATTAAAAAATATTAATATTCAAAAGAGACATCGCTCCTTCTGCTTTTGGATTATTCAAGACATATACGTATAATCAACATAGTCTTGTA